TGGCTGCTGCAGTTGGCACATTTGATCTACGAGCAATTTTCACGCTCCACTGCGCAGGAATTGGTGGAGTGAGAGCCAGGACATCGCCCGTTCTCTTGGGTCAAGGTCAGGATATACCTCGTCCCACCATTGAGGGCACCATGTACCTCGACCAGAGTTTCGGGTCGTCCCACCCCGAACCCTCTACCATGGAAGCCTAGCAGCTCAGCGAGCTCCTCTTTGCGGTTGATGATGTCCGTCACAGCCGACTCATGGGAAACCTTGACCTGGACACGGCGGTTGAAGCATTCGACGCCATAAATTCAAGTCCAGGGGACACCTCTGGGGTAAAATACTTGACGAAAATATGCCCAGTTCATCTGGAGTAGCATCGTCAGGAAACAGACATGGTTGTGACGCTGACCACGGCGTGAAGACAGACATGTTGAAGCTGACGGAATTGGAAGAATACAGCAGGTAGCGAGGATGATGTTTGGTGGGTGAGAGACGTAGAGATATCTCGCTTTGATAAGCCAGGTAGTGATCTCTTTACCGACCAAGGCCGTTTAGCGGCAAGAAATCTGACTGAAAGCACCACTGAACTGTGCCGCTTTCTGGGACCCAGCTTCAGTCACCTATGCCACTTTAGCCAGGACTTTCCCAAGCTCTTCTACATATGGCGTAAGCCCCCGCAGCAACTTCAACGCTGGCCACGTCTGGCCGCAATTCGAGATGGATGCCATCATTGACGGCAAGGCTTGCCGGAGGATGAAAGGTGTTATAAACTGGGTGATATGAAACAGTTTCATGAGGGTTACGAGACGGCGCCTTCTCTGCCACCGTTTATGCAACTGGTGCAGGTCAATGTGCGCCAGGTGCCCGAACATATCCGCGCGTGGCGTAAACAATGGGACGAGAGACAGCGGTTGAGACAAAGAGAGGTGGTGGAATTCGTAAGGGGGTCCAGAGCAAACCCCGGAGAGTTAAAGACCCATTGAGGTATTGCTTAAGCAGAGTACACAGGTGGATCCATCCCACGATCCATGGATTACTTCGACTGCTCCTTGACGGCCTCCTTTCCTTCCGAGCCGGACCCGCTTCCCTTGGCAGCCTGTGTTTTGGCAGCTGCTCTCTCTTTCGCCATTGCTCTCCTAAAAAAAAGAAAGGGAAAAAAAGGAAGGACCACCAGTCAGCTCATGTGGTTTCATCAAGACTCGAACAAAAACTCACTCCTTCTCCCGGATATACTGGTTCTCGAACGCCTTTTCACGGTCAGAGAGTGGGTTGAACGAGTCCATGGCTGAGAGCTTGTGTCGTTTATTTGCTGGAAATTTCTATTTTGCTGGAAATGTTGAGTTTGTTTGTTGTGTTAGAATTTTGAGATTTGAAATTTATGACGAGAGGCAAAAAGAAACCTCACCTACCAAAAAAACGGGATGACGTCAGCTGTTTGCCACGGATGAAATGTACTTCCCAGTTCCTATAACCCCCTTGTAGGCATTTCGTTCATCCTCAAATCAACAAAACCGCCATTATTGGCAAACAAGCCTCTGTCATATGAGCACAAGATGAAGAGAAAAGTCTATTCAAGTCTGGGTACAAAAGGTTTGATACAAGTACATCTCCATACACAAAAGTCTTTGAGAATCGGAGAAGGAAAAGAAGGGGAAAAAAAGAGAAAAGACCGACCAACCGACCGACCGACCGACCGACAAATACATCCATACCACCGGCCAAATCCATTCTGTTAGGGTCAAGAAATAATAATATTATTATTATTATTAGTAGTAATAATACTTGAAACTCTTGCGGTGCACACACCGGCAAGACCGCGATAATGGTTCCCTCTCGCTCCCCGCTTCCCCCCGTGATCCCAATGAAATCAGATCAGATCATATCTCATTAGTTTGGCAGGGAGTAGTAAATAGTGCGGCACACGTATCCCTGGGCATCGGTGTAAAAGGCGTGCTTGTCATCCTTGCGGATGGCGAAGCTCTTATACCCGTTATTGCCGTTTCTAAATGAAGAAAAAGAAAAAATTATGAATTAGCGTTCTGTTATATTTCTGAGAAAAAAAAAAAAAAAAAAAAAAAAAGCGTAGAAAGAGAGACTTACCCGACATGGGACCAGTTGGGCTTGCTCTGGGCGTCCTTTTCAATCCACCACGTGAAGCGGACGCCGGTGGAGAACTGGCAGGAGTAGTGCCCTCCCTCCCAGATGACGCCCGAGTTGAACCTGCACGAGTTGCTTTGGCTGGGAGCGTAGTGGCAGTTGCTGTCGTTGGGGCAGTACTGCATCATCAGGTCAGCCATCGTCAGTCAACACTGTCAAAATTGAAAGATAATAGATTTACTCACGACAACAACTGAGTATCTGTTGAGGTTTTTGGAATCACCACAGTTGAGCAGGTGAACTCCTTCGACGCGCTTGACGATCTCGCCGCGCTCGTCAATGAGACGACCACTTCCAACGACAACCGCCCCAGGATCGGTGGCGACTGGGTTGGCGATGGGAGTGGCCAAGGCGCCCACGAGGAGGGAGGCGAAAGTGAGGAAGGTGGTGGGAATCATTTTCTTGGTTCTTGAATGAGTGAATTGCGGTTGGTTTTGTTTATAAAAGAGTGGACGTGATTGTTTCACAAAGTTTGTTTTTTGGTAGCGAGCGTAAATTGCGTGGTGGTGAAGCGAGACGATCTGAGGATGAGGAGAATGAAAAGCACTATTTATGCGTTTCTGTGCTTGCACGTGTAGATACTCTCATGAGATAACTCCAAGTTCCTCCTCCAAAGAACTCGGATTCAGAGAGAAGCTCTCCAGTCCAGCCGATGTCCCCTTCATTCTAAGCCGCCACAAGGGGCACATTGCTTGGCCATTCGTTTCATCAACATTTTGCATCTATGAAGGTAATTACCCACTCCATCTTGGCCTCATGGTCAGCTTCACGCAAGGCCCAGAGATACCCATTAACTCCAAAGTTGATCGTAGCTTGATTCCTGACAAGCTACGGGCAGGTCTCTCAAGCAGTGAGATGGAGCAGAACGCACGACTGTGGTGCAAAATGGTGACTAAAGTGGCACAAGCAGCTTAGTGACGATTGCACAAATATGTCTGAGCGGTACAAACTCAGTGGCACAATATGGGCTCCATATATCTCGATGGCCAGATGAGAAATGGCTATTGGCCAGTTCGCCGCATGACAGTCCATGCATGTAGGTACCTAGGAACGATGACGCTCTTTTAGCAATCTCACAGCATATGCTCGTCAACGGTAAGCAATTAAGCATGAACGAGTTTCGGTGGTTTATTTCGCACCGCCGCAAGGATAGGTAGGGAGGTAAGCTTACCACACCCCCAAACACAATTTCCACATCCTCAAAAAAGGGGGGGGAAAAAGAAGAAAAAGAAAGAACCTAAATTCCTAGTATTACTCCCTATGTAGATCCTGAGGGAAAAAATGAAATCACTGTCTAACCCTCTTCTCGCAGAGGACCAGCTCCCCAAACTGCGCCTTCAACTCGGGAACCTCCAACAACCCCCTCAAATACCCCTCCAGGTTCGGCGCGGCCGTCTTCCTCATCTCCTCGTCGACCAGAAACTTGGTAGCCAACTGCAGCGGACCCAAAAGCTGCACGTCGGCAAAAGTCAGCTCGTCCCCGACGATAAACTTTCTGCCCTTCACGGCGTCGTTCACTCTCTTGAGCGCGCGCTCGAGCTCGGCGGCGGACTGGTCGTATCTGGCAGCGTCAAAGGGGATGAGATTGGCGATGGTCATGAGCAGGGCCGGAATCATGCTGGCGGCGATTTCCTGGTCGGCGAAGCAAGCCCACTCCTCGATCTTGGCGCGGGTCTGCCGGTCGGCGCCGAGGAGCCGGGCGGCGTTGGGGCCGCTGTCGGCCACGTAGCGGGCGATGGCTTGGCCCTCGGTCAGGGTGAAGCCGCTGCCGTCGGCCGATTCGAAGGCGGGGACTTTTCCGTAGGGAAACTTGGCGAGGAATTCGGGGGTTTTGTTGTCCACGCCCATCTGGAAGGGTGGGATTTCGATTTCGAGGCCGTTGAGGGCCGCAAGGGCGAGGGCCTGCGAGACTCTGTTAGTTTTGTTTTTCTTTCTCTTGTTTTCCCCGAAAGAGTCATAATTCATCAGGCGGTGGTGAGAAATGACTTACCCGCTGCACGCGGTAGTTGCCAGGGTAAGTGTAGATCTTGCCGAGAGGAGCCATCTTGATTATCTCTTTGTAGATATTGAAGGTAGGTATGTATGTAAGCTGTAAGATATTCTTAGGTGAGGTGTCTAGTAAAGTTGACGTAAACTACGTTCTAATGATGTCAATAACAACGAAAATATGAACAACAAAAAAAAAAGCAAAAGGAGAAGAAGGATGGGATGATACCTACCTACCCCTTTTTATATGTTTAGAAATCCGGAACAAACATTCAGCTTGGCAACTGGTCAAAACCCCTCTTCCCAAACGGAATGTTCCCGAGCGTAACATTCTTGAACTGGAAATCTCCACTTTTGGACTGTCTAGTGTATTCCTCGCACTGTAAATACCCGTTCCTGTCTTCCGAAAAAAAAACCTGACACAAGACTAGCAGGCTAGGTTTCACTGACAAACTTTCCCCCCGCCTTTTTCAGCCCCGTCTCTCGAATGTTCTAGTCACGGTAGTACGTTAACCCCATTTGTCTTTCATTACAAATCACAAATACAGAGTGGAGTATCCAGGATAGCCCGGCGGCCGTTTAGGTATCCAGTCGCTCGGTTGAAGTCGGGGGTAATATCGCGTTACAAAGAACAGTACCATCTATTACAACATGCAGAGGGTGTATGACAACATACATCTCACTCAGCTGCAAGATTTCCCCAATAGTGGTCACTCAAAAGAACTGAATCAAATGGCATACGACGACACACACGCACTTGTAAAAGAATGATAAAAGAAAGTGACAACATAAAATAAATCTTTTTTTTTTTTGAAAAAAAAAAAAAAAGATAAAAATTGAAAAACAAAAGATAAAAAAACCAATGGACGAGCCCGGAATCGAACCGGGGACCTTCCGCATGAGGCTTCAGAACTGAATGTTTGATGCTAAGCGGGCGCTCTACCAACTGAGCCACACGCCCTAATCTGGGAACATGGTTGGTATCGTGTCTTCCAGCTCGATTACTGGGTATATCATCTGAAGCAAAGGTTCATTCATTATCTGTCTACTTTCTTTCTCATCAGTATAAAAGGACCAATAAGAGTCTCTTTTTCTTTTTCTTTTTCTTTTTCTTTCTTTTTCTTTCTTTTTCTTTTTCTTTTTCTTTTTCTTTTTCTTTTTCTTTTTCTTTTTCTTTTTCTTTTTCTTTTTTATTTTTAATAGAGCTCGAATCCGTTTTGTAGTTCTCCCCATTTTACATACAACTTTCACGAGTGTCGCCCAAAAATTGAAAAACCTCGGGGGAATTTTTCCCCCCCCCCCCCCCCCCCCCGGTGATTGTAAATCACGATCCAAAGCTTGATAATTTCCAATCATCAAAGTTTGCCCGATCTCACCAAGCCGGGATGTAATAATGCACGCACACAACATTGCTGCGGTGTAACAGCCAGCTCGTACATACCTTACCTCCCCATGGCCGGGGCGGGTTATGCTACCACTTTGGGACAGTTTACATGGTAACTATCCAAATCACACGCAAACAAAAATTGCAGGCCAAAATAACAAAACAAGAGAGTATCAACTTCAAACCCAGCATAAACAAACCCAGTTATGTACACAAAAACCCCCAAACCCCACGACACCTCAACATATACACACATCCATCCCAAACAACTCAACTATCCTCCGCCTCCCTACAGACAGGACAACCCCCCGCAATCCTGTCCCTCAACAACCTAGCATGATTAACCTTGGGTCCAATAAGGTGGTGCGACCCTCCGTACCCATACCCGCCATCCGACCCGTTGACCCCATTCAACAACGCCTCATCCACCTTCTGGCCCGGGTTCAACCTCTCCAGCAAATGCTGCAAGTGGAAAATATGTCCGCACGCGAACCCAACCAGCGTCTCCATCTCCCACTCCACAAACGACTCAAAGCACTGCGCGCAATGTCCAGGCGCCCACTTCTTACCCGCTCCGGGTGGCTTGGCGGGCGCATCTGCGCCGTAGACGCTTTCCTCGTCGGCGGCAGTAGTCTTTTCAGATCCAACGACGGTGGGTACGTCCTTGGGTTGCACGTCAACATGATCCTTGCCCTTGACGGCAACCTCAAACTTGACACCCTTCTTCTGCCCACTCCTGAGCAGGTTCTGCGCGGCGCCTACTTCACTCCTCAGAACCCTGGCAACGCCGGAACTGATGCTGTACTGGATCTCGTGCTCCTTCATGATGTGTTTCAGTCCTTCCCGCAGGCCCTCAATTTCCAATCCTTCGGGGATGCGTCTGACAAGGGTGATGGGGTTGATGGCTGTGCCGACTTCCTCTAGTAATCCACGGATGAATCGGGGTTTGTCCATGCTGTAGGCGAGGAGGTCTTCCCACAGTTCTGGGTCGTCCTGCTCCTTGGCAAACGCAATGGCGCGGCTGACGTCGCCGAGACGGTCAATGATGAGGTAGAGGGCGCGTTTCGAGTCACCTGTCTTGGAGTAGAGGTATACCAACTCGGGTATGTAACTGTGTTTTTCACATTCGTGCACGGCCTGTGATGATATTAGCAAGGACACAGTGCATGGGTGGTGAATAAGCACATACCTTCTCGAAGGCATACGCCGTCGACGTTTTGAGCAGGTTCATGAGCAAAGACTGATCGTAAATGGCAAACAGATGCACGGCCAGATCAGCAAAGTTGTCAACCAGAGACTGACTATCTGTCACCAGTCGAGCTTTCGATTCGCCTGCGTGCTCATGGATGCCCTCTCCCCTCCACAACCCGCGAAGATAAAAGAAAGTATAGAGATCCAGCTTCCTGTTCTGCAGTTGGGTGACGACTATATCAGGCTTCACCAAACCGTGTTGCGCTTCGTCCACCAAGAGAGTGATGGCCTCCGACGTCGCCTCTTCCAGCTGATCACGCGTCATTTTCTGCGCATGGGGGACTCGAAGTCCAATGAAGCTGGGGATATCATCCGCCACGGCATCAGCAAGATGGCCATCTTTGATGAGCCTCATCGCTGAGTCGGCATCCTGAAGTTTGATGTAGCATTTCAGAGCCTCGCGGTTCCTCCCATTGGCCTCGTGCAGCTTGGCAAGGCTTTCCATGACAATCCGCCAATCCCGGCCAACTTCACCATCTTCGATGCTGTCCTCACGGACATCGCGGTACTTGAGCTGATCTTCCAATGCCGTTGTGATCGTGGTGATCTCAAAGAGGTCTGGTGACCAGCGCTCGAGGAGGTCACGGAACCGAGGCTTGCTGGTCTGCAGGTAATGACCAAGTACAACCTCGTAAATGGTTCCGGGGATTGGCGGCCGTGTCCTTTCGGTTGGTATGTAGTTCACGATCTCGTCAAACTTGTGCGCTCCAGCAAATGTCCACACCCACTTCTCCCATCGGTCAGGGGTTCCCAAAACCTTGCCACAAATCTGTCCCGCTCGCGTCCAATTGCCAGCCTCAACAAGTTCCTGAATCCAAAGCTCGCCGATCCGACGCTTTTCCTTCTCTGCAGACGAGTAAAATGACCGCAACGCTTCCTCGGCGGCCGACACAGAATCGTCATAAAAGTCATCTGTTGTCTGGGTTTGCTCCGGCGACAATGGTGTTGTCTCTGGAGCAGTCACCATAATCTCCGGATGCTGATCCACCAACTCCCATGCTTGTTGATACTGTTGGTGATCCAAAAGCCATGTTAGATGATCCCCCAAATCTCTCTTCGTTGCCAGGATACAGTCGTAAGGGCTGTGAATGAAGATCTTGATGCCTGGTTTGGCGAGGTTTGGATGAACGGCGCCGCGTGCTGGCCGGGAGAAAATTGCAGCAGCATGCACCCTCGATCCAGAGGCGGGACTTTCGTTACTGTCCTTGCTCCTCACGCTTGCGGATGAGCTGAACAGAGAGATGGGATTGAGGGCCACGTTCAGCATGTCAGTACCGAGGCCCGCCAAGGTCTCAAGGGCGCCTTTATTTGAAGCAGCAGCGGCGACAGTCTGCGCCGGTAATACACCGAGGTGATAGTCGTTGGAGGAAAGCCTCTCAAAGCGACTTAAAGTGAGGCTGTCCATGCCAATCTCTGCCTGTGATGTGAGATCAATGAGCCGCAGTTCGGGAGGCGGATTGTTCTGCCTTCGTTTAACCCCCCCTGAAGGCTCACTGCCGCCGGACAGCGTACGTTGATGGCCGCGAGGCGTCGCTTCCCCTTCTTCCTCCTCTTCTTCGTCAGGTAAGCAGTAAGCAAGAACTAATACCAAGTTCTGGGTATATAACGAAATGCCGGAAATAATGCAATCCATGCGAAGTCTGTGAAGTCAATAAGCATACGAAGCAAGATCAAAGTGAAGGGAAAGCGCCGCTTACAGCTTTACAATCTCGGCCCGACCAGCAGACCTCTCCCCGGCATTCTTTCCAACGCCGATCCCGCCCGGGTGAACGTGGATTATCCATATCGTTCCTCCCCATCCTACTAATAAACGTTCGACGATCTTGTATTTTAGTGACTGTTGTTTGAGCTTCTCAGCTGCTTGGGGCCCGAGAATTTCTTGCGTTGGCGCTTTGGGGGGCTCCTTGGCAGGCTCGTCCGCTTCGACGGCTTGCTCGTCTATCCACTCTGCTCTGCCCTTCCATACGCTGGCCATGGTTTCCCATTCGGCGGTCTGAGGGCGGTCGATATGGCCTATGCGCTTCCAGGCATCTTCGGCATCGGCACTGTCGAGATGGAGTTTCGTGCGCATAATCTTGATTCCATGCTCGTTCAACCAGACGACATATCTTCCAGATAATGACCACTTGATGGTGTTGATGGTGCCCTCACCCGAGTGCAAGACAGTGTCTTTTCCTGTGTGTGCTCCTACCATCCCGCCCAGCCATCCAGCCGCCTGTGCTGCTGCTCCTGTGGTAGTGGCCGTGCTTCGACCTGGTGGTGCGCCAACTGTCAAAATAAGCTGCCCAGAGAGTCCACCCGAGAGATACGTCTTGTCTGTCTTGTACTCTGGAGATAGCGCAACAGCTTGGATCGGGCGCGCAAAGTTTCGGAGGTGTACATCCTTCACGTCCACTAGGTTTTGGACACATACATTGCCATCCATGGACGAGGTAGCAATGTAGATGTTGTTTGACGGGGTATTCGGCAAGGTATTCTGCTGTTCCCTTGGTCTTCGCGAAGCAGCCGTCGCCGATGAATGCATTGGCATCGTCTCGGCGCGACGCGGGCTCTGAGGAGGCGCATCAACATCGGGCTTAAATGCGGAAAGGGGCGGCGGGTACGGTGATATGGAGAGGGACGTAACGGACGCGGAGTGGGCATGGTAAACTCGTAGAGACTGAAATGCTGGCAACTGAATGACATGAATGTTGCCATTGTGTGTCCCTATGATCTGGAATTACGGGCGCGCCGTTAGTCAATTTACCGCCGAAGCGCATGCAACAGGTAGGAGATGGGAGGTCCCAACCGTCTTGTCTCCCGCGACAATGAAGGCACTGGTCGCGTCGCCATTTCGGTAGACAGGGCCGAGATGTTGGGTCAATCGGGCATATTTAAGCTTCGGCTCCTCGTCTTCCTCCTCTTCTGAATCGTTCTCATCACCTTCATCGTCGTCGTCGCTCTCACTCTCGCCCTCGCCCTCACCGTCTTCCGTCTCGTCCTCTTCCTCATCATCCTCGTCGCCTCCATCGCTGGACTGTTCTACCGTAGTGGCATCAGGGGTAGTGGTATCTGTCTCGGCGCCGTCGCCCGAGACAGCTGGTGTGGTTCTTTTTGTTGAGCTTGTTTGTGTCGCGCTGCTCCCGCCTCCGCTTCTACCTCCACCTCGTTTGGTGGGTGACTTTCCGTGGCTTGGCTTCGTTGTTGGTGTCGTGTCGGTATTTGTTTCGCTATCGCCGGGCTTTGGCGAGCTTTCTGTCATGTTGATTCGAGCGATACCCTCAACTTCATCGTTGTCTTGCAGTGCAGTTGCAGGTTGCCTGGCTATGTAGTATGGCGTGTTTCGG